CTCGCTGCCCAGGCGGGTCTCGAACCCGTGGCTCAGGCAATCCACTCACCTCAGCCTTCAAAAGGCGCGGGATTACAGGCTGAGCCACCAAGACCGGTTTCCAGACTGTTTTTTATGTAGATCCCTACATCTTCACTAGGACTTCTCTAAAAATAAGGTCATATGTAGGCAGTGCTTAGGAACCGGCTCCGTTTAGTTGGGTATCCTCGACTGGGGGCCATTGTGGTGACCCCTAGCTCCTTGTGATGCCATCAAGAGCTCACCAGCCAGCAAAGTTTCAGAGCTCCCAGAAAGACAAGGGGGCTTCCCCTTGTCGTGCCACTACATGGGAACTTTGGGGCAGGAAATGGCGCCACCCGGCTCCTGGCCTAACAGCTCAGGAACCACAAATGCAAAGGAAACCACCTTACCCTCCCATCTCCTCTTCTGCACCCCATCTTAAGCACACATTCCTGTACCCTAGCTCTGACCCCAGCCCTCCCCCACATCACCCATCCCATTCCCCAGCTAAGACTCAGGCATGCTCATTCCGGACCACCCACCTCCCCTTCTGCCTCAGGTGAGACCCAGAGACTTCAGGCACCATGCTAGACCCCGGAAAGAGCAGATGAGGGTGCTCTCATCACACAGCTGTGGGAGCAGGGCGGGTGGGGCAGGATGCAGGGGTGGGTAGGGTGGAGCCAGGGCCCACTTCCTTTCCCCTTGGGGCCTTGCCCGCCCCAGTCCTGCCCCGGCCTCAGGAGGAGTTGGAGTGACCTGGCAGCCCTGTGCCCTTATCAACTGAGCTGGTAAGGGGGTGCCTCCAGGTGGGGCAGGAACCCCAGTGGACCTGGGAATGTGCCTATGGCTTAAAAAGATCCCAACTGGTGATGGGAAAAGAGGATCAGGAGCCATTGGGCTGCATAAAATTAGGGAGGGCCAGAGGGGGTGGCCATTGCTGGAGTCTGAGCTACCAAAGCTGAAGGGGACAGAGGTATGGGGTTGATCAGGGAGCTGCCAGCATTTGTTGCCCTGTTATTTCTGATAATAGTAAAGCAAGAGTAGAAAAAGCCGTTAAACCGCAAGTTGGGCCTGGCCGTTGGCAGGGAAGTGGGCAGGAGGGGAGGGCCCGGCCAGGTCTTCCCACAGCTTCCATGTGTTCTGTTTCTCCAGCTCCCTCACCCTCAGGTCCCAGCTTCTGCTCATGCCTGTCGCCCTGGAAATGGCCTGGCTTCTCTTCTTCTTCTGGGCCCTGGTGGTGACACCGAATCCCACCGATTCCTTTACTTCTCCGGTCTCAGATAACTCTGAGACCCTGATCCACAACTCCATGACCTCTCCTGGTTCGGTAACAAGGGACTCTAAGGTTGACAACACCGGGGACCAGATCTCAACCTCAGTTCTCAATCAGGTGTCCCCTCTTGAGACATCCACTGGTGCTAGTACTGGCCCTCCTATACCTGGGACAACAACCTTCCAGGAGGCTTCCTTTATTACCTCCTCGATGCTCTCAGAAACCTCTAATGCAATTAGTGACCCTGTCCCCACAACAACAAACTCTCCGGAATCTCACACTGTGATGGATGGAACCACAGCTAACTCTTTCAATGGGTCCGGTGGACCCCCTGTCGCTATGACAGCTAGCTCTCAGGAGACCACCAGTGGAACCAGTGAACTCCCCGTCACCATGGCAACTCGCTCTTTGGAGACCTCCTATGGAACCAGTGAATCCCCCATCACCATGGCAACTCACTCTCTGGAGACTCCCAACGGAACCAGTGGACACCTTGTCACCATGGCAACTGAGTCTCTGGAGTCCTCCAGTGGGACCAGTGTCTCCATTGTAAAAATAGTCTCTATGGCTACCTCAAAGACCTCTACAAGCACAAGCCCTACGCCCACCTCACATTCACATCAGGGCTCGAGTGGCATGCTGCCGGTGGCTGTGCTTGTGGCCCTGCTGGTGGTCATAGTCCTCGTGGCCCTGCTTCTGCTGTGGCGTCGGCGGCAGAAGCGCCGTACTGGGGCCCTGACGCTGAACAGAGGTGGAAAGCGCAATGGGGTGGTAGATGCCTGGGCTGGGCCAGCCCAGGTTCCTGAGGAGGGAGCCGTGACAGTGACAGTAGGAGGGTCTGGGGGCAACAAGGACTCTGGAGACCCTGTCGGGGAGGGGCTTGGCCAGCGGCCCTCACTCACCACTTTCTTCAGCAGACGGAAGTCTCGGCAGGGTTCCTTGGCACTGGAGGAGCTAAAGTCTGGGTCAAGCTCCAGTCTAAAGGGGGAGGAAGAGCCGCTCGTGGGCAGTGAGAATGAAGCTGTGGAGGCTGCCTCTTGTGAGGGGCCGAAAGCCGGAGACGAGACTGTGCCTCGTGAATAGCAAGGGTGGAGGTCCAGATCCGCGCCAGCTTCCCTCACCTTCCCTCTCATTGTTACCTCCAGTCACCTCCAGTCCCTCGTGCCCAGCTTTCCTACCCAGCATCCCTGGATCCTCGCCCAGCATCTGCACTCTGAAGCTTCAGCTGCCCCCTAGCCTTGGATTTCCTGCCAGCAAACTGCATCCACATCTAGCACCTGGGCCAGGGCCACATCTGCTGAACATCTGTGGACTGGATGAATGAACCTTCCTCATCAGCCCCTACTTCTCCCCATCACCCTTTCTCCATCTTTCTATCCTTGGAACCAGCTGCCGTGTCTCCATAATGCCAAACTTACTTGACCTATAATTTCTCAGAGGGTTTCCCCCCAGGGAATACCAGAGTCTGGGAAGAGGAAGAAAATGACAACCCAGCAAAAGGTTACCCACAATGAACTTTGAAGAGTGCACTTGGTCCCCTAGTTGGAAGGGCCATCCCACCAAGACAGCCCAGAATCTCCTTTAGCTCTGGGTCCCGGGGCCGGCCTGGAGTATGGAGTATGGAGACCTGTGCTCTCAGGTGGACCTGTGACCTTTCTTGGAGCATTTGGACCCTAGGCTGACACATGGCCCAAGCCAATACACTCTCCCCCACCTATGGACTGAGGCAGCCAGATGCTTTGCTATTTCTCTTCCCAAGGGCAGAGGTGAGAAGAGTTTCTGGGTAGGTGTAGTACTCAGAAGCCCCAGCACCTGCAGGAGTCCATTCATTGGTGTGGTTTGTGTTTGCAAGAGGTGAGGCTTTGGCAATGTTTGTGAAAGATAGTGGTGTGTGCGGGAGGATATAGATGTGTGAGGTATGGGACGGGGAGGGTGCAGAGACCAAGGGGGTGCCAACCTGAGGGTGGGGGACAAAGGGATTGTTGAGAACATAGGTGCCCTCATCTTTGCTCAGATGGGGTGAGCATAGCAGAAAATGTAACTCTGTTTGTAACCCAATAAAGAATGCTAGTTTTGATAGAAAGCTCACTTATGTGACCAAAGTGTGGCTTGCTTCTTCAACTCAGCCACCATACGCCTTGGCTAAGGCTCCCTCACTCCAATATGCCCATGTGCGTTCTCTCTCCCCCTCCTCTCCTCCCACACACACAGAGGCAGGGGGAGAGGTGTCATCCTCAGTAGCAGTGACTGGATGCTCCAAATCCACTGGTCTTGCTGACCCCCCATTCTATGTTTAATTTGCTTTTGGAATGTCTCCTCTAGCATTCCAGGGCTGAGTGCCTTCCTTTCCCCAAGGGATCAGTGAGAGTGATTTAAGTGAGGACAGTAGACAGGGCCTTGAGCCAGGGGTTTCCCCTGTGCGTCTTGGGAAGAGAGGAGAGGACCAGACCACACGGCGCTGCCTTGAGGCCAGCCCAGGCTAAAGGCGCATCGCATAGGCCAGAGGCGGTTGGAGGAAATGTGCAAAGAGGAAGTTGCTGAGTCAGAGGGGGCAGTGGCTGAGAGCAGACAAGTTGATGTTCAAAAGGAGACACAAAACCATGTGAGTTTGCCCTGTCGTGTGGCCTGGACGGGAGATAAGGAAAGGGTCAGGTGGATCAGTTCCTGAAGTGGAAGAGGAAGGAGAGAGAAAGGTGGAAAGTGGGCTGGTCTGTGGGAAAAGTTGAGCTGGGGTGGAATCCAACCTCCCAGCAGTCAAGCTGGGCACCCGTAAGGCTGCATCTGGGCACATTTTCCAACTTCTCACAAGGTGCTGTTTGGACTAGCTAGAGCCCCAGAGCACTGAAGTGTGTTCCAGAAGTTCCTCAGAGACACTGCAACTGTTGTCTTAGATTTATTAATACAAGCGCCCCATTTTCAGGCTTAGAAAATGCTGTCACAACTCCAAGGTCATCAGCTCCACTGCCTTCTCGTTGGACAGATGCAGTCATTTTCTGAGCCATGACTGGTCTCCAGGTCCAGGGAAAATTCTGAAGGAAATGATGTAGGGATGGCTGAGGCACCCAACAGGGTCTTCACAGTCCAGAAAATATCAAAATATAGAGGCAAAACAGAATTTTCTTTTTTTAGTCAGACTTTCACTCTGTCACCCAGGCTGGAGTGCAGTGGCATAATCATGACCTGCTGGACTCAGGTGATCCTTCCACCTCAGTGTTCCAAGTAGCTGGAACCACAGATATGTGCCACAATACCCAGCTAATTTTTTGATTTATTGTATAGATGAGGCTTTGCCATGTTGTTTGGGCTGGTCTCAAACCCTTGAGCTCAGGCAGTCCTCTCACCTCCACCTCCCAAAGTGTGAGATTACGGCGTGAACCACTACGCCCTGTGCCAAACAAAATTTTTTTTTTTTTTGTGTTGGAGTCTCACTTTGTCGCCCAGACTGGAGTGCAGTGGCCGCTCCCGGCCACCACAGCCTCGACCTTCTGGGCTCCGGCGATCCTTCCACCTCAGCCTTCCAAGTAGCCGGAATTACAGGCATGCAGTACCACGCCCGGCTGATTTTTTGATTTATTGTAGAATGAGGTCTCACTGCCCAGGTGGGTCTCGAACCCGCAGGCTCAGGCAATCCACTCACCTCAGCCTCCCAAAGGTGCGGGATTACAGGCTGAGCCACCGAGCCCGGTGCAAAACAAAATTTTAAGAGTGCACCAAAAGGAGAGAGTGCCACGCTGCTCCTGGGGAAAGATTGGGATGCTTCACCCAAGAGTTTGTCACAGGCTTTTGTCATATACACTGCTTTAGTACTGGCTTGTTCCAGGTCCTTAATGAATATGCATTTGCAAAAATAAATGAGTGAATGAGATGACTCCTCAGAGATCTGAAGGCTGAGAAGGATTTTGCCTGCTGGGCTCCAGTGACCCTTCTGCCTCAGCCTTCCAAGTAGCCAGAACTATAGGCACGCACTACCATGCTCGGCTAATTTTTTTTTGATTTATTGTTGAGACATGGTCTCATCAAGTTGACCAGATGGATCTTGAATCCGCGGGCTCAGGCAATCCACTCGCCTCGGCTTCCCAAAGTGCTGGAATTACAGGCAGAGCCATCGAGTCCGGCCAAGGCATGATTTAAAAAGTGGAGCAGTTCAATATAGAATCATTTTTGGATTAACATGGAATAGATGGCTTTCAACTCTCCAGAGGGGAAAGGAAATGATAGGTATTATAAGAACAAAAGGAGGGTAGGGAGGAAGGAGAGAGAGAAGCAATAAGAAAATATAAAATATGTGGATAGGACTAACTATATCAGTTATGAAAATAAATGCAAATGACTTGTTTTACTTATCAAAGTCACTCAAAATCAGGTTTTCAAAAACTATGTAACGACTTTGGAAAGTACCAACAATATAATGTTAAGTGGGACAAAAGTGGGTTGCTAATTTGTACGTGCGTGATTCTAGTTTTGTAATACAAATGAAAAGATAAGTAAACACTGAAAGAAAAAAAAGAAGCAACAGCTCAGTTGTTTACTGTGGTTATCTTGAAGGTGGTGGATTTGTTGTGGTTTTCATTTGTTTATACTTTCCCATATTTTCCATATTGTATATAATAAATATCGATTTCATTTACAATTTGAAAAAAAATAGTGGTAAAGATGTTCAAAGTGTGGCATGGGAGGAGTATCTGGCTCAGCGAGAGTTGTGGTGATGAGACTGGAAGGGATGTGGGAGCCCTGCTTTCAAATTTAATTCTGAAAGTAGAGGGAAAGTCAACAAACCCAAGTCTGCCCACTCCTGTCTTCTGGTCCCTGGCAGTGGTGAGTAGCATCACTCATTTGGTGGCCCAGGCGAAACGCCTTAGAAGTACCAGGAAATTCCACTCTCTCCCCTGTCCTGGCTCCCCAGGTGCCAAGCCCAGACTGCTCTTCTTCTGCCATCCCTTGGGTCCCTTCTTTCTGTCCATGACCCATCACACCTTGCTGGAGCCCTGTTGAGGCTTCTCTTTTGGTTTCCAGTCCCTGATCGCTTCTACTCTCTGCTCACGATGGTCCCAGAGATGCTTCTGAAAGACTGCTCTGTCCCAGGTGCTACTCCTGCACTTCCAAGGCCGTCAGGGTAGAGCCCTTCTTTCTCAGCGTGGCCTACAAGACTCCTCAGGAGCTGGCCTTGCCTCTCCTCTGGCCACCCTGTGGGCAGCACTCGGTTCAAGCATTCTATGTTCTCCAGCCTCATCAAATTCCTGTTGTTCCCTGAATATGCCATGTAGTGTTTTTTGGTGGGGGGAAAAGGGGAGTGGTTTAAAACGTTGAAAATATTTATTTTGTCCAGACAGTAAATTAACATTTTTTTCCTCTTTTGCAAAAGAATTCCAGATTATTTTATTTATTTTTTTGAGTTGGAGTCTCACTCTGTCACTCAGTCTGGAGTGCAGTGGCTGCTTCCGGGCACCGCAGCCTCGACCTGCTGGGCTCCGGCGATCCTTCTGCCTCCACCTGCCAAGTAGCTGGAACTATAGGTGTGCGCTATCATGCCCAGCTAATTTTTGATTTATTGTAGAGATGAGGTCTCGCCAAGTTACCCAGGTGGGTCTCAAACCCACGGGCTCAGGCAATCCACTTGGTCTCCCAAAGTGCTGGGATTACAGGGTGAGCCACCGAGCCCGGCCCATTCCAGATTTTTAAATATTAATAACAGAATTCACACACACACACACAATCATGTATAGTGTGTTATATTTCAGCTTTTTAATTTAATTTAATTTTATTTTATTGAATTGGAATCTCACTCTTGTCGCTCAGGCTGGAATGCAGTGGCACGCTCATAGCCACCGCAGCCTTGACCTGCTGGGCTTAGGCGATCCTTCCACCTCAACCTTCCAAGTAGTTGGAACTACAGATGCATGCCACCACACCCAGATAGTTTTGGTGATTTATTGTAGAGACGAGGTCTCACCAAGTTGCTCAGGCTGGTCTTGAACCCCCGGGCTCAGGCAATCCTCTCGCCTCAGCCTTCCAAAGTGCTGGAATTGTAGGCTGAGCCACCACACCCAGCCAATTTCAGCTTATATTTTAAAATAAAATAGTAG